GATGATTTTGCTGTTTTAGCAGAACATTTGACTCACGGCGCCGGGGGAAATCTGACATTTTATTATTTAACAAAGAATGATTAAGCAACACCATAATGACCATGATGATTTATACCTGATTTCACACAATAAATTATATAATTTGTTTATACTTTACTGGTAAAAGTTTTAAATAATTAAAGATTTTATTTTTAAAGATAGTGTACTCACTGAGGCCACATTTATTTGATCAAAAACACAGTAAAAACAATATTATGAGATATTACAATTTAATTTATTCCTGTGATGCAAAGCTGAATTATCAGCCTCGTTACTCCAGTCTTCAGTGTCGCGTGATCCTTCAGAAATCAGTCTAATATGCTGCACATTTTAGCCCCTTTGGTCCCGCGTCTTTAGAAAAGTCCTTGAATGGCCTCTGAGTTTCTGAAACCAAAAACTTCCCAGTCTCACTATTGTGGTCAGTAATGCACTGTTTTCAGCACGTCATAATACATGGCTTTGTTGGTGAAACGAAATTCTTCCAGAGTCCATAAATGGAACAACACCAGGAGAAACACACTGACCTCTTTCTCATTCGCAACATCTTCAGCCATCAGCCACCGCTCAAACACACTGAAGGTAAGATTTAGTCTTCCCTTGATTGTCTGTAGTCATGCAAGCACCTGTGTATCAGGATCAATAATGTTATTTCTTCTATTTAACTATTATTTTTTTCTAGTTTTTATATGATGTGATTTATGTCAAATAATGGAGTACCCTAATATACATGATGATAGGCTACTAAAAAAATAGTTGTAAAGGAAAATATAGGCTCTTTATTAGAAAATGGTTCAGTCTAGGTGAAGGTAATGTCTTACAACCTTTGTACTATGTGCTGTCTCCTGGATGGAGGAGGTATGTTTTCCATAGAGTTCAAAGAACATAGCACTCAATACACACATTGTATATCAATTAAAGGGTTAGTTCACCCAAAAATGAAAATTAGGCTGTTTTTTACTCACCCCCGATGCATCCTAGCTGTATATGACTTTCTTCTTTCAGACGAATCCAGTCGGAGTTATATTAAAAATTGTCTTTGATCTTTCAAGCTCTATCGTTGTACTTAGCGGGTATTGCAGTGCTTCGGTTCAAAAGACGTGAAATAAAAAGCACCTTTCCATAAAAAAAAGTGTCTCACACACACCTCATGTAGCGAATCGATGCGTTTTTGTAAGAAAAATATCTATATTCAAAACGTAATAATCACTTTAATGTAGCTTGCGCCAGCAGTTGTGCACAGAAGCAGTTCCGGGAGCATGACGTATGAGTTCAGCTTTGTGCATGCGCCGGTGAGTCTCGTGAAAACCAACGTTTGTTAACAGGATCAAATTAAGGCAAAGTTTCCTTACTTTAGCAAAGGAAAACCAGTCTCCTCTTGGCTTATATCGAAATCCTCAGACATTCATCTTTACAAATCCTCGTTTTGTACTTCTAATTAGTGACCATTGTTTTGTTTCGATCTCTCCGCTGCGTTTCCGCGTGCGTCACTTCTGAGCGGCGCATGCGCAAAGCTGACCTCATACGTCATCCGCCCGGAGCTGCTTCTGTTTACAACAGTGAGCGCAAGCTAGATTCAAGTGATTATTACGTTTTGAATATGGATATTTTTCTTACAAAAACACATCTATTCACTACAGAAGGCCTTTGTTCACCCCCTGGAGCCGTGTGAGACACTTTTTTTTATGGATGGGCGATTTTTATTTAAGTTCTTTTGGACTGAAGCAATGCAACACCCGCTGAGTGGCATTAAACAGCTTGAAAGATCAAAGACAATTTTTAATATAACTCCGACTGGATTCGTCTGAAAGAAGAAAGTCATATACACCTAGGATGCATCAGGGGTGAGTAAAACACAGCCTAATTTTCATTTTTGGATGAACTAACCCTTTAAGGCAAAAAGATAATGGAAGATAAAGTAGATCAGAACCCACACAGTTGCACACGCATCAAAACTATAACTGCACACTTGTTACCAACTTAATGCAATGGACGGCTATTCAGACCAGTCTTAAAAACTTTGTTTTGTAGATATGCATTTATTAAAGTGATGAAATAATGGCAGTAGGCTACTTATTTTTTGTCAATGAAGCATCCGATGCAGACGCTCGAGCGATACTGCAAATGAACGTGACTAATTCTTCATTCTAATCTAATTGGTAACTGGTAAAAATTCACTCTGTAATTGCTTTATGGCAGATACTGTTGATACGCTGATTATGTAATTATGTTTATCAAGTTTTGTGATCTATTTGTGATATGATCAGATGCGGGGGGCCCCACCAGGCGACAATAATCGACCTTTGTGCGCTCTAATTCCGATAGAAGCTAGAAGCTCGAGCACATAATGCACACGTTATATATCATCACGGTGACAAGATAACCAAGGAATACAAAAGACAACAAGACAGATAAAAGAGCCAAATGATCCAAACCTGCATCATAATTGCACACCTGTTAGCAGCTTAATACTAGCCTATTCTGACTAGTTTTAACAGTTTTAATAACTTTTTAAACTAAAAAAAAAACTTGAAAATTTGTTGTTTTATGTTGCTGATGTTGTATGTATTATTGTGATATGTAAATATTTCTAAATTCCGTGGGACACGTTCAGCTGTCTGCTGCTATAGTAACCAACAGGTCAGGTGAAAATCAGAAACATTCGAAAAGAAACATTTTTTTATGTATTTAAAATTTGTGATATGTAAATACTTATTAATTCCGCTGTTGTTTTAGTAACCAACGCGACTTCTTATTAGCGTCGGGTGAAAATCGGAACGGCTCAAAGCACGGTAATGAGTGGGTCGAACTAATTCCGGTTTAGAGGAGTACTCCCCTCAAATAGAAAAACGGTATTTTTTTTATAGTTCGTTTATTTTATTTTTATCAAGTCAATGTGTTTTTTTTTTTTTTTATTGAAGAAGTGATTGAACATTAGAATACATTTTAAAAATGTAGTCCACATATACAAGAAAGAAAAGCAATCTTAATCTGCACGACAGCATTTAAGAGAAGAAAAATGGAAAAAGAAAACAAAAATGAAGTCAAGGTGGTCTGTTTAATGCAACCTCACCTCGGACGTCATAGATTACATGTTTATACCAAAACGAATCAAGTAGCGACTAGCGAAGCGAATCGGCGCTTGAAAGTGAATTGTGTTGTTTTTAGATGCTTCGGTAAAACCCAAAGAAGAAAGAGAAGAAGAAGAGAAGCTTTGGTGTTGTTAATATCTCTAGGTATCAGACACTGCAGACCATTTACAGTTCATATGTTATAAATTGTCATGTTTTCTTCAGGTTTACTGATGATATTTGGAAACAAACTCTGGGTAAGTAGTAACCTTTCCCCTTCATTTGATATTTTGCATGTCCTTTGCAATAGCATATTGTGGAGTATAAAACAATACAAAACTTTTGTGGCTATGCCTAGCCAATGTGTTCATATAGTGACCCTGAAAGTGTTTGGACACTTGAGATGTGCTTAAAATGTCTGAATGTTATCGTATTATATAACAATACAAGCAGATCTAAATAAATAAAAGTGTCCTAAAAGCGCATTAAAGTTTATGAAATTCTAGTGAAATATGTTTGTAGTTAATGTGATGTACACCTATGAGAACTGACTTCATATATATATATATACAATATTGCACTTTCAAGTCAAGTCAAGTTGAGTAGCTCATGCAGCATTTGAACGTACAGATGATTTCTTTAATATTATATCTGATGCACTGTCATTCAGACATGTGTGGTCAAATAGAGATTAATTATCTCTAAAACTGTGTATATAAGTACCCTTCATGTGTGTAACCTGTCTCTTGTCTCACTAAGCATGGCGTCAGTGTTGTCACAGCTGATGGGTCAGTGGATGGATGTTCAGGGTCTCCTGATATTTCTGTGTGTGCTTCTGCTGGTGAAACACCTGCGATATGTTCTTACAAACAACATGCCGCCAGGACCCTTCCCTCTGCCTTTGGTTGGAAATGTACTGAATATAGGCTTTACTGATCCAATGGAGGTTTTTCCGAAGGTAAGTTGTATGAAGAGCAGTAATGATTTGACTACTACAGTTGTGTACTTTACAAGATAACAACATCTTGATAGATTGCTGAGAGGTATGGAGATGTGAGCACACTGTATCTGGGAAACAATCCATGCATCCTGCTCACTGGATACGAGAGTTTCAAAGAGGCGTTTGTGGAGCAGGCGGACATCTTCACAGACCGGCCGTACTTCCCTATAGTTGACAAGCTCAGTAAAGGGAAAGGTACAGATGCAGAAAAAGCTATATTGCAGCAATCAGATTCAATACTGGCAAAATCTGAAATCATTTTCGTTCTAATATTGACCTTTGCCCACTTCATTCTGTCTGTGTAGGTTTGATTATGTCCAGCGGACACATGTGGCGTCAGCAGAGGCGTTTTGCTCTGGCAACTCTCAAATACTTTGGTGTGGGGAAGAAAACTCTAGAAAACTTCATCCTGCAGGAGTGTCGCTTTCTCTGTGACTCTATACAGACTGAACGAGGTCAGTGAGCAACATTTTAGGGGTAAACACCATTTCTTCTCCTTCACAAACAAGATTGTTGTAATTCTTTTACCAAAACTCCAGTGAAATGTTTCAAGACCAGGGAGTGACATTTTCAGTGTCACAATCATGTCTTGAAGGGCCGTATGTACATACTGTCCTCTACAGGCCGCCATCTGCAAGTGCAAGTGTCCTTTGAAGGTCAAATATCTGGGAAACCACATGAGAGCTCATCTTTCTGAATTTTTCTCTTTTCATTTAAATAAATATACAGTGAGATTCAAAGCTTGAAAGTGAATTGTGTTGTTTTTAGATGCTTCGGTAAAACCCAAAGAAGAAAGAGAAGAAGAAGAGAAGCTTTGGTGTTGTTAATATCTCTAGGTATCAGACACTGCAGACCATTTACAGTTCATATGTTATAAATTGTCATGTTTTCTTCAGGTTTACTGATGATATTTGGAAACAAACTCTGGGTAAGTAGTCCTTCATTTGCTTCATTTGATATTTTGCATGTCCTTTGCAATAGCATATTGTGGAGTATAAAACAATACATGGCTATGCCGGCTATGCCTAGCCAATGTGTTCATATAGTGACCCTGAAAGTGTTTGGACACTTGAGATGTGCTTAAAATGTCTGAATGTTATCGTATTATATAACAATACAAGCAGATCTAAATAAATAAAAGTGTCCTAAAAGCGCATTAAAGTTTATGAAATTCTAGTGAAATATGTTTGTAGTTAATGTGATGTACACCTATGAGAACTGACTTCATATATATATATATACAATATTGCACTTTCAAGTCAAGTCAAGTTGAGTAGCTCATGCAGCATTTGAACGTACAGATGATTTCTTTAATATTATATCTGATGCACTGTCATTCAGACATGTGTGGTCAAATAGAGATTAATTATCTCTAAAACTGTGTATATAAGTACCCTTCATGTGTGTAACCTGTCTCTTGTCTCACTAAGCATGGCGTCAGTGTTGTCACAGCTGATGGGTCAGTGGATGGATGTTCAGGGTCTCCTGATATTTCTGTGTGTGCTTCTGCTGGTGAAACACCTGCGATATGTTCTTACAAACAACATGCCGCCAGGACCCTTCCCTCTGCCTTTGGTTGGAAATGTACTGAATATAGGCTTTACTGATCCAATGGAGGTTTTTCCGAAGGTAAGTTGTATGAAGAGCAGTAATGATTTGACTACTACAGTTGTGTACTTTACAAGATAACAACATCTTGATAGATTGCTGAGAGGTATGGAGATGTGAGCACACTGTATCTGGGAAACAATCCATGCATCCTGCTCACTGGATACGAGAGTTTCAAAGAGGCGTTTGTGGAGCAGGCGGACATCTTCACAGACCGGCCATACTTCCCTGTGAATGACAAGATCTGTAAAGGGCAAGGTAGAGGGACACAGTACATACACCAAACACAATAACACCATTTGTACTTTAAAATGGTCAGAAATATGACTGTTGATAACATTGGTAAAACAGTTGGCAACCACAAACTTCTTTCTTAATTCTGCTTTCATTCAAGATGTTAATATGGATTCGCATTTCAGACACAGCTAATTTGTTTATTTTTGCTCTATTAATAAAATAGTTTGAATATCAATTGTGAACTGTTCCAGTGCTGTTGGTAAAATTACCTTTTGCAATGGCTACAATAACAAGCAACATCAATAACAATCTGTAACGTTACGGTGATTCTGGATTTCTAATGTAACATGAGAAAATTTAATTTTCCTGTCTTTTCACAATTCAAACCATCCATATATTGAAACCATGCTCTGTAAAATGTTTCACTTAGAAATGTATGGAAGACACCCACATTCACCAACACAACTGACCACATTTACATGCCAACATTTGGTGTTCATAAACTTGGTGTAGGACCTTTAAGGTTTGTTTGACATTTAAAGGTTTGTGTGACGGATTTGATTTGTCACTGCCTGAGTGTAATGCAGCTTTGCAAAGATATGCAAAAATTAAAAAAATAATTATCCTTTTATATGTAGGTCTGATCTTCTCTAGTGGACACATGTGGCGTCATCAGAGGCGCTTTGCTCTGGCAACACTTAAGTACTTTGGTGTTGGCAAGAAAACTCTAGAAAACTCCATCCTGCAGGAGTGTTGCTTTGTCTGTAGTGCTTTGCAAACCAAGCAAGGTTAGTGAACACCATTTCTGTCACTTCATATATCTCAACAGGCTTCGAGTTCATTCTGTGCTCTACAGGCAATGATTTGAAAGTAGTTCAAAGTAGTTTGCAGCCTTAACCATTCTTTCTCTCTTTTGCTTTCCAAGGTTTGCCATTCAACCCTCATCACCTCTTGACCTACGCAGTGGGCAATATAATATGCAGCCTGGTTTTTGGCTACAAGTTTGAGTATGACAACCATCATTTTCATGAGCTGTTGCAGTATTCAGATGAAACCTTTAAGCTGCCCATCAATATCTGGGGTCGGGTATGGGACCAGATTTACTGTAATGGACCCTTTTCACTGTAATGATAATGCATTCCCACAGTTATTAAAGGGATACAGAAAAAATGAAAATTCTGATATTTACTTATCCTTAAGTTGTTCCAAACCTGGAAGAGTTTTTCTTCTCTTGAACGTGAAAGATATTTTGAAGAATGTGGGTAATCAAACAGTTTCTGGGCGGACATCTTCACAGGCCAGCCGTACTTCCCTGTGAATGACAAGATCTGTAAAGGTAGAAACCCATTGGCTTCCATAGTATTTTATTTTTCCATACTATGGAAGCCAATGGGGATCAACAACTGTTGAATTGAATTGAATTGAAATTTATTTGACAATTTAGAAACTGTACAAAATAACAAGTATCCCATACACTTAAAAACAAAACTGTCGAGGATAAAAACACAATGAAGTCATTGGCTTATTTCCATTGCGGCCCTCGACGTTAATATAAAAGGTAAGGCTATGTACAGAAGAGACAGAGCAAGAGTATCTCCTAATCAAATACTAATTAAAAAAAATAGTAAAGATAATTCACAATTTAAACAAATACAATCACTATTGACAATAAACACATCACAAAGCAAGCTAACTAACATCGCCAAACAGCCATCTTTTTACCAATCTTTTAAAACTCCCAAAATCTTTTACTCCCTTTATTGACACTGGTAATTTATTCCATGCAACAGCACTAGCGTATAAAAACATATTTTTCCCCACCAAACTTTTAAATTTACATGGACAAATATTAAGATTCCTACCCCTAGTATCATAGGAATGCTGTTGTCTCACCATATAAAAATAATTTTCTAAATAGCTTGGAACCACATTATTAACAATTCTATGCATCGTACCCAATAAAAAAAAAAACACCCTTTTTTCCACAGTCAATAAACCCAACTCCTTAAATTTCATTATGCAAAAGTGTTCGAGAATGCACTTTTAAAAGTATTCTAACTAATTTGTTTTGAGCCTTTTGCAATTTCTTTCATACCTTGGGAACAACTACTATACCAAAAGGAGGTAGCATAATCAAAATGGGGTTGAATCAAGGCACCTGCCAACAATTTTAAGGAATGAACATCCAATAAATCGACTTGCCTCGCTAAAAACCTAATTTTACCACATATTTTTGTAAATATCTTTCTAGCCATAAAATCACCTGTTAATTTATTATCTATTAAACAACCCAAATAATTTACTACACTTTTTGCCTCTATTGCCATATCGTTGATCTTAATCAAAAAAGTATCATCCTTATTTAATTTCATTTTTGATGCAAAGAGAATGGCCTCAGTTTTTACCTGCATGTAGGGAAAGTTTATTATCTAAAAACTATTTAGACATCACTTGTAGTTGCAACATCATATTTTCCTCTAGGACCCCCTTATCCTGGTGAAACACTAAAACTGCTGCATCATCAGCATAAAGAAAAAGTTCCTCTGAACATGCTGCTTTAAAGGGTTAGTTCACCCAAAAATGAAAATCATCACCTTTCTCACCCTCAAGTCATCCTAGGTGTATATGACTTTCTTTCAGACGAATCCAGTCGGAGTTATATTAAAAATGTTCTTTGATCTTTCAAACTGTTTAATGCCACTCAGCGGGTGTTGCATGCATCAGTCCAAAAGAAGTTAAATAAAAAGTGCCCATCCATAAAAAAAGTGTCTCACATGGCTCCGGGGGGTGAACAAAGGCCTCCTGTAGCGAATCGATGCATTTTTGTAAGAAAAATATCCATATTCAAAACGTAATAATCACTTTAATCTAGCTTGCGCCAACAGTTGTACATGGAAGCAGCTCCGGGCGGATGACGTATGAGTTCAGCGTTGCGCATGCGCCGGTGAGTCTCGTGAAAACCAACGTTTGTTAACAGGAGCAAACGAAGCAAAGTTTCCTTACTTTAGCAAAGGAAAACCAGTCTCCTCTTGGCTTTTATCGAAATCCTCCGACATTCTTCTTTACAAATCCTCGTTTTGTACTTCTAATAAGTGACCGTTGTTTTGTTTTGATCTCTCCCCTGCGCTTCCGCGTGCGTCACTTCTGAGCGGCGCATGCGCAAAGCTGACCTCATACGTCAAAAAAATTAAATACTAATAAAATACTCCCTTGAGAACTCTACAATTAATAAATAAAGGATTAGACAATATACACTTAATGTCAACCCTCTGGCTTCTATCATCAAGGTAGGACTGAACCCACCTAAGAGATTTCTCATCAAACCCAACTGCCTTTAACTTGTACAATAAAATTGTTTTCTACGGTGTCAAATGCCTTCTGAAGGTCCAACATAACCATCCCACAAAATTTGCTATTGTCAACCGCTTTCCTGTTTGGTTACCCACGTTCTTCAAAATATCTTCTTTGTTTAACAGAAGAAACAAACTTATTTGCAATTATTTAAGCTAATATAACAGTTTTTCATACCTTGGCATTCAAATTTAGAAAACTAGTTAACACTGCTGTGTGAGTGTTCATAATACAATAGCTAAAGAAGCGATTACAAATTTTACGTCTTTCTCACTTCTGACCAACGTAATTGATCTCTTGATATTTTCCCCCCGTTTTGTTAAGACGTAGAAACACTGTTATGGATTTGTTTCTGTTGGTGTTGAGAAAATGGGAATGCAAAAATTAAATTTGTTGTGTTTTCCATTCACCACTATTGAGGTTTACCCATCTATGATGACTTCCACTTCTGAGAACTCCAGAAATGTGAAAAGTGTTCTTAAAAAAAAAAGGCATGCTGTAGTTGCTGAATGTCAAAACTGTAATTTATAAAGGCATATCTTGCTTTAAGGTCAACATGAATCTTTTTGCAATCCATTTGCATCTTACAAAGACAAATGCTTGTTTTTGGAATAACATGCACTAATACATGCAGATAACCAGGAACATGCATTTAAATAAGTAATTATGATCCATTTTGATTTTATGTTGACTATTGAGTGAGATCAGTGATATTAGAATAGTTTGCTCAGGTTGGCCATTTCAAAACATGCACTACATTTTAGTTAATTTTAGTAGTTTAAATGAAAAAACACAAGGATCCTGCAAAGATTTGTAACATACTAATGACCAAATATGTTTGTCCCTCAACAGTTGTATAACACATTTCCTGCTCTGATGTCCTTGCTGCCAGGAAAGCACCAGACTGCATTTGCCAACCTTTCCAAGCTTAAGCTCTTTTCTAAGGAGGAAATCAGGAAGCACAAAGAGGACAGAAACCCCTCTAGTCCTAGAGACTACATTGACTGTTATCTGGATGAAATTGAGAACGTAACTGATTTTAGCACATCCAGGCTTTTCTTGTTTTTGTTTTTTTTTTGTTCACATTAACTAGCTGGTAATTCAAGCATTTCAAATGAAATCAAGTGAACGCAGAGCAATCATTTGTGCCCAAAACATGCCCCACATTTTTACTTTCCATTTACCTCTTTGCAGGTTCTCTCTACTGTAGCCATCTTTGTGTTTAACCCTTCTTTCTGTCCATGATTGTATCCTCTTCCTCATCTTTCCATTGTTCCCAGTGTAAGGACAGTGAGGCGGAATTCACAGAGGAAAATCTGATACACTGTGTGTTGGATCTGTTTGGAGCAGGAACAGAAAGCACTGCTAAATCACTCAGCTGGGCTTTACTCTACATGGCCAAGTATCCAGAAGTGCAAGGTGGGCTGCTCCACTCCTATTACAGTCTACTTGTTAGGCAAATGTGTATATGCATGTCCACCTACTCTGCACATTCACTTTATGTAGAAAAAGTCCATTCTGAGATCGATCAGGTGATTGGACAGACACGTCAGCCATTAATGGAAGACAGGGCACATCTGCCGTACACCTACGCTGTGATGCATGAGATTCAGAGGTTCGCAAATGTTCTTGCTTTCATTCCGCCGAGAGTTGCCAGCAAAGACACCACAGTAGCCGGATGTCTCATACCAAAGGTAAGTCGTGAAATAATGTTTGCAGCATCTAGGTCATATTTCTACGAGAAATCAAAAGGAAAAAAATAAATGTGTGTATGTGTGTGTATATATATATATATATATATATATATATATATTATATTCTTTCAGTAAACAAACCTTTTGTTTAATTCTTATGTTTTGTCCTATGGCAGGGTGTGATGGTGCTGCCAATGCTGAAGCCAATCCTGGAGGACAAGAATGAATATCGCACTCCGTATGAATTCAATCCTGCTCAATTTCTGGATGGAAATGGCAAATTTTTGAAGAGAGAAAATTTCATTCCCTTTTCAATAGGTAGGTAATGATGAGGAACTAAAACAAATAAATTCACACAAACATACACTGCAAACTTAAACAACATACCGTTTAAAAGGTTGCGTTTGGTAATTTTTTTATTATTATTTTTTATTATTATCTTATGCTCACCAAGGCTGCATTTATTGAAATACAGTAAAAACAGTAATATTGTGAAATATTATTACAATTTAAAATAGCTGTTTTCTAAAAAAAATATTTTCAAATGTAATTTATTCTTGTGATGCAAAGCTGAATTTTCAACAATCGCTACTCCAGTCTTCAGTGTCACATGATCCTTCAGAAATCATTCTAATATGCTGATTTGCTGCTCAAGAAACATTTCTTATTATTATCAACAGTTGTGCTGCTTAATATTTTTGTGGAAACTGTGATACATTTTTTTTTTCTTTGGTGATTTTAAAATTCTAAAGAACAACATTTATTTGAATAAGACATCTTTTGTAACATTATAATTGTCTTTAGTGTCACTGTTAATGCACAATTTAATGCATCCTTGCTGAATGGAAGTATTAATTTCTTTCAATAATATCTTACTGACCCCAGACTTTTGAATTGCGGTATATATAAACGATTAAAACGTCTAATTTTAGCATACACTCGTTAACTCAATCAAATAGTGAACAGGTTTACTGATGCAGACCCTGATTTCCAGGTAAGAGGATGTGTCCAGGTGAGCAGCTCGCTCCTATGGAGCTCTTCCTCTTCTTTATCTCTCTGATGCAGCATTTTACCTTCCTGCCACCTGAGGGAGAAACACTGAGTCTCAAAAGGACAGTTGCCATCGCTTCTGCTCCTGAACCCTTCCACATTCGTGCTGTGCCTCGATAGTGCCACACGATTGAAATCTAAAATAAAAAAATCTCCACACTGCTGAAGCACAAATAAACATTTGTTTCTTTTTTGTAACATAAAACGCACATAGTATGAAAGATATGGCAATGGCATTTTATTTTCATTTAATACACAAGGTTTATTTTCTTTGCCCATGATTGATAATATATCCTGCATAATTAATTTGGAGAATGTTAGTTGTGGCTGAAATTAAAGGCAGCTGAATTGCTGTACAATCAATCAGTCAGCCAGTCAAATGGCTGTTTAGGATGCAAAGCATCTTTCTGCCTTGATGGCAACCAAAAGTAGCTATATATTCGGATACCTTATAACATAAATCACATATTTAATCATATTAGTAGATGATATACCTGTATGTGGACTTTAAAAGCATGAATTGGACTTTTATTTTCTGCAGTCTTTGGCTTCACACCTCAGAATAATTGTTTGTGAAGGGTTTGAGTGCTTGTATGTTGATGTGGCGCCACCAGCTTTGTCATGACATCATTTCCCTATGACTGCTGAGTCATTGGTCACATGGCATTTAAGACTCAGGTGGTTGGTTAAAAACGTCTTTTCTGGGCAGCTGAGAAACTGCCATCAAAATGAGTCAGTCAAGCTCTGCGTTATGCAGTCAGATATCTTTTTTCTATTTTAAAAACCAATGTATTAATGGATTTTTTTTATCCAAAGTAATTCATTCATATTCTTACACAGGTGCTCTAGTTTCACATCTCCTGCACTCTGCGGTTGTCTCGGATAATAAAATAACCTTCACTTAAATCAGTATTTTATGTCTGTGTATTTATTTGATAATTGTCCTTGTTCTATTGTTTCAGCTCACACTATGCCTTGTAATAAGTCAGCCATCAACAACTGCTGTAAAGTCGGCCGTTTCCCATCTTTAAGAGTGAAGTCGGACGACTGCAGCAAAGTGAAGTGCTCCGTACCTGTTCGCAAGAATCCTTGCAGCTGTGTGACATGCTGTGGCCGTGAGGCTGTTGTCGTGCAGGATGACTGTAAATACAGTGGAGCGTGTGGAAAGCAGGTGTACGGCTGCGTCAAGCCGGTTTGTCAGCACAACCCTTGCTGCAACCTGACATCATGTCATGATCATGCGGTCAAGAGCCTCATCCAGGATGACTGTGAATCCTGGAGACGTTGTGGAAATGAAGAGTTTGTCTCATTCCCTGTCAATAAGTGGAAGTGCGCGTGCTGCACACCGGGTTGTGATCAACTGCCATTGCAACTGACTGACAGAAAGCTGTGATTATGTTGGACTGTGAGGATTCAGTCCTCAGGTTCTTCTGTCTAGAATTGAAATTAATCTTTTAATGAAGCTGGAAAAATGAGGCCAAAAGTACAAAGAAATAACAAGTGAAAAATAAAACCTTTTAAAAGTATGCACACGTGAGTGGATTATTTCTGTAGGCTACTACTAAACATGCAAACAAACAAATATAGACATCCAGCACAGAATGCAGTACTGATCAAGATTTGCACATTTTAAATGGTAAGATTTTAAAATAAATTATAAATAAACCCAGGACTGAAGTAATCTATAAAACAAAATGTAAATGAATTTGTATGCAGTCTTTTTGATCTGAATGAGCTTTATTAGTTTAATATTTGAAAACAACCCCTAAAAACCACATTAGAAAAACATTAATACCACCTCGAAAACACTGTTTATACTGTACCTCACAGAACTTTCCAGATCCATGTTTAATGAGTTATTCGTGTCAGATATCAGCTAAATATCAACAGGACATTCACTATTAACTCTTTAAAATGATTGTAGTAATTTGTGTATTTTTTAGGCGTTGGTGCGATCATTTGTCTTCGTGAAGTTGTGAGGCTGTCGAATGGCAGCTGAATATATGCATACATCTGTTGACAAAAGTTGATGTATTTTATTAATACTTACATTTATTAGTTATACATTTATTTATCAATTATTAGTCACACTGAAAAAAATGTTTCATTCATCCAATTAAAAAAAATGACGGTAATGATTCACATCTATATTTTTTTACTTGAGCCAATGAAAAATAAATAACTTTCCCTAGAAAATATAGAGGAGAATCATTAACCCTAAATTTTTTTAATTGGATGAATGAATTTTTTTTTTCAGTTCACTATCTATCTATCTATCTATCTATCTATCTATCTATCTATCTATCTATCTATCTATCTATCTGCATAGGCCTATACAAAGTCAATGGCAATGGTGTGCGTCAGTTCAGTATTATTGTGTTGTCGACCTCTGGCGGGCAGTCAGTGAATGTCATCTGTTTAAAGTATGATTTTTACCTCAATATTTAAATAGTAGACATGTTTATTAGCATGTTACAGTTTACCTAAAGTTTGTACACACATTATATAAAAATAGTAGAGTTAGAACTATAAAATTAAATTACACAAACTAACTGGAAGGAATAATGGAAGCACTGTATGTAGTGAAACACACCAACACACACACACACACACACACACACACACACACACACAATGAATGTAAAATTGTTGCATTTAAGCATATAGTCCAAACTGGTGTGTCTTTATTTGATAATCATCCTTGTCCTGCTTATTACAAGTTGCTTATCGCAAACTAAACTCCGCCAGAGTGATCCAAGAGCCTGTTTGGCATTTATTATAGGGTCATTTCACCAGGTTGCTTGACGATACCTTTTTATCCCCTTCAGAGCCGATCCTAGACTTCTGGGGGCCCTACACAAAACTGTGTCGGCGGGGGGCGGGGGTGGGGGGGCAACTCCTTTTTTTAGTCTGGAGCAAGACTGTACGACATTCACGTCACATGATTTGACAGATTTTTACGTAGAAAGGGCGACAGCGCACCGCATTAAAAGAAATGATCATTCATGTTTTCATAACCACTGTCCAAATTAAAAAACGAAACTAGAATGAAAGTTTTGTTTTGGGGGCCCTACGCCACTTGCGTATTTTACGTAGGCCTATAGGGAGGATCGGCTCTGATCCCCTTATTTATAATTAACTTTAAGCAAAACACTGTTCATTTTCCGTTTAGATTGACAAAATAAAATGCATCAGTAAAACTTAAGTGCAATGTTTTGCTCTTTCTGGTCAGATTTGTTTACCGCAAGTACAGGTCCGTTTATTATGGGGGAAAAAAGGTAGTTTTAACTATACAGAAATAAACCATTCACTCATGTTTTCTTTTAATGCTTTTATTTTTCATTTGAGATTTCTTTATACTTGGAGTTTCAATTTCCAGCTTCATTAAAAGATTAATCTCAATTCTTGACAGAAGAACCTGAGGACTGAATCCTCACAGTCCAACATAATCACAGCTTTCTGTCAGTCAGTTGCAATGGCAGTTGATCACAACCCGGTGTGCAGCACGCGCACTTCCACTTATTGACAGGGAATGAGACAAACTCTTCATTTCCACAACGTCTCCAGGATTCACAGTCATCCTGGATGACGCTCTTGACCGCATGATCATGGCATGATGTCAGGTTGCAGCAAGGGTTGTGCTGACAAACCGGCTTGACGCAGCCGTACACCTGCTTTCCACACGCTCCACTGTATTTACAGTCATCCTGCACGACAACAGCCTCACGGCCACAGCATGTCACACAGCTGCAAGGATTCTTGCGAACAGGTACGGAGCACTTCACTTTGCTGCAGTCGTCCGACTTCACTCTTAAAGATGGGAAACGGCCGACTTTACAGCAGTTGTTGATGGCTGACTTATTACAAGGCGTAGTGTGAGCTGAAACAATAGAAAAGAGAGATCGTGAGAGGATGAATGGCAAGAAAAAAAAACAGTTTTTTGAATGCAATGATTATCTTTAAAAAAGTAATACATGACAAATTAAATACTTACATGTGTTCAGTCCTTTTCAGTCTTGATTTATTGTACTCTAAGCAAGTCTTGCTATAGCAGCTCTTCTCTCGCTCTGATGTTTCTCTCCTCAGCAGCCCGGTATATATTCACATCTTCATCTCCACCCCGTCCACAGCTCAGAGCTCAGGAATGTGAGGAATTCTTCATTGCATGGGAGGGAGACTTTAGTGTTCATCATGAGTCTCACTGATTTCATTTTCAATACAGCATTACATAGAGGAAAGTGTCATTTTTGCTCACAATGGAAAGGATTTTAAAAGCAGTTTAATGAGCAGCACATATTGAATCTTATTATTATGCATGGTTAATGCAGTGCCAAAGCATGTTCATTTAATCACTTCAATGATTAATTTTTCACACTATATATGAAAAAAGTTATATACATACTATTGTTTTTTTTTCTAGTATGTGGAAAAAAACTAAAACTAATTTCTGAATAACATCAGTCTTCAGACTGTACACTGTTTTAAAATTTTTTTTACAAGAAAGTATTATTTATTTTTTCTCACAAGTCTGAGTTTTCGCTCCCAATTCTGACGTTTTTTCCCAGAATTGCAAGAAAAAAAAATCTGAATTGTGAGATATCAACTCAGAATTGCCTTATTCTTATTCTTATCCTGAAATGGACTTCCACTGAAGAAAAATCTGAATTGTGAGATATAAATTCGCAGTTGTGAGGAAACTTTTCTGTTTCTTTTTAATTATTTGTTCAATTTCCTTGCAATTTCTAAGTGAAAATTGTTTTTACACCATTGTTTTTCCAGTGTAGTCATTCTATTATGTTGGATCCACACAATTCATACACACGTCCTCATAGTCACACTTTTCCACACACAGACATCAAGCTCGTCTATTTTATCTTTATTCTGCACAGTTGCTGCTTTTCTGCAATGTTGTATCTTGTTTTTGTTTGTGCCATAAAGGGGTTTTATAAAACCTACTGAGTGATAAAATCCGCTTTATATCATACTTGTCAGAGTAAATCGAGATGCAATTTGGTTAATCTGTCTGATTAATTATCCTAGATGACAAATGAGGTGTATTATTACTTGTTAAACCTCCTTTCCCATTATCGCTAAAATGACTCACTTTTTCACTTAAGCTACAGACTGTAAAATCTAATGCTAAATGCAGCAAGTAAAACAAAATTATGTAACACTATAAAGAATGCACTGCTGTATTTAAGTTTAAATGAGTGAGACTCATTCTAAACACTGAACCTGCCCTCTCATGAAAAATAAAATTCTTGAGCTCTGAGCTGTGGACGGGGTGGAGATGAAGATGTGAATATACACCGGGCTGCTGAGGAGAGAAACATCAGAGGAAAAGAAGAGTGGCTTCCAGCAAGACTGAGTACAAAAACACAGAGACGCAAATCATTATTCAAACTCCATCAGGAAAAAGGACTGAAAACATGTAAGTATTCAACTCCACTCAAGATAATCATTGCATTCAAAAAACGTTTTTTTTTCTTGCCATACGTCCTCTCACGGTCTCTCTTTTCTATTGATTCAGCTCACACTATGCCTTGTAATAAGTCAGCCATCAACAACTGCTGCAAAGTCGGCCGTTTCCCATCTTTAAGAGTGAAGGCGGACGACTGCAGCAAAGTGAAGTGCTCCGTACCTGTTCGCAAGAATCCTTGCAGCTGTGTGACATGCTGTGGCCGTGAGGCTGTTGTCGTGCAGGATGACTGTAAATACAGTGGAGCGTGTGGAAAGCAGGTGTACGGCTGCGTCAAGCCGGTTTGTCAGCACAACCCTTGCTGCAACCTGACATCATGTCATGATCATGCGGTCAAGAGCCTCATCCAGGATGACTGTGAATCCTGGAGACGTTGTGGAAATGAAGAGTTTGTCTCATTCCCTGTCAATAAGTGGAAGTGCGCGTGCTGCACACCGGGTTGTGATCAACTGCCATTGCAACTGACTGACAGAAAGCTGTGATTATGTTGGACTGTGAGGATTCAGTCCTCAGGTTCTTCTGTCTAGAATTGAAATGAATCTTTTAATGAAGCTGGAAAAACGAGGCCAAAAGTACAAAGAAAAATAAAAACTTTTGAAAGTATGCACAGTGGATGTGAGTGGATTATTTCTGTAGTATTAAACATGCAAACATACAAATATAGACATCCAGCACAGAATGCAGTACTGATCAAGATTTTCACATTTTAAATGGTAAGATTTTAAAATAAATGATATATAAACCCAGGACTGAAATAATATATAAAACAAAAGTAAATTAATCTGTATGTAGTCTTTTTGATCTGAATGAACTTGATTTAAAAAAACAAAAACAAAAAAACAACCACCACATTAGATAAACATTTAACCTTATAATGCTTGTACTGTACCTGATCAACAGAACTTTCCAGATCCATGTTTAATGAGTTATTCGTGTCAGATATCAGCTAAATATCAACAGGACATTCACTATTAACTCTTTCAAATAATTGTAGTA